CACGAAAGAAGAGGATCAATTTATAGAAAGGGGAATTAAAAGATTTGGGGCACGATGGTGCACAATCCTACGACATCCAGAATATAACTTTCAACCTGGTAGAGAAGCTAGGACACTTAGACTTCGTGCAATTCAACAAAAACTTATCTAGTGTATTTCACTCATGTACCTTGTAAATATAAATTTGCTTATTTATTTCTTTCTTAAACGATTCCACGCAAAACTAAATGCATTCTCGGTTGCCTTATTTTCTATTCCTGCGACTATAATACGTATAATATGTTTGCCGCTTTGAAAATAGTTGATCAGTCTAATTTATATATAAATTATGTTGAAGCATAAAGTTTTCACAAACCGCAAATCCATTTAAGGTATAATCTCTTTCATATACAACAGTGCAATTCTCGTCAATATATAATATACTTCATGGAGAACAACACAATATATTACTGCTCTTCACTATGTTATAATAGTTAGTATCGACATCGATTGAAATATCTTCATACAATACCGATCAAATAATCGAAAACTGACTTTGCTGAGGAAAGGTTGCATGCTAATTATTGGGCAAAACTTTTGGGTTTAGTTCCGAAAATAGGAACGTATATTCTTGTTCCTATCTCGCGTTATATTGCAACTTAAAACTTTAGTTCCGAAAATAGGAACGCGTTTTCGTTCCTTTCTCGTGCAACGGAACGAATAGTTCCTAAAGTGTAAAAAGGAATGAGCTGTTCCGCTTTAGTTTGTTCCTTTATAAAAGGAACAGAGTTTTTGTTCCCCCAAACAATGACGGCACTAAACATTCCGCTTCATATCGTTCCGAAAACCAAAACAAGTCAGATAAACATATACGCCCAGAATTTAGTTTGCTTCGTTTGTTCCGCTAATGACACTAACGTTGCAATTTTCTGTCGCATTACAAAATAGGTAATGATATTCATACTTATCAACGACTATTAGCGTTAAAAGCCTACAGCTAAATTGTACTAAAGCAAACTGAAACATCACTTAAAATTGAACAAAATATATGGAAATGATGATGATCATTGTAGAACTCTATCATTATATCTAATTATTATATTCTATCATTATATCTCTTATTATATCTAATTATTTACAATGTCCCTGATATATTATATACCTTCAAAGGGCTGGGGGAGGAGAACAGACTCCGAGTCTACATGCTAGATACCCTAAAGTGCACAAATAGCTTCCTTTGTCCTTATACAGGAATTTCACATAATTTATTGTTTCACATTAATTGTATCTACTGAAATTACATATGTATGGAATGGGAAAAGTCGGATTTTGTGCACGGCTGCCAAGGCTGATGATATTCTATTTATTTTAAATATTCAGGTTGATCAGGTTGGTCATTCGGAAAATTTTAGTTGTTTAATTAAACAGAGAAAATATTATAAAATTGTATTGTCAGTATCATAAACTGATTTACAAAATCACGGCATTTACACGGATAACATTTAACAAATCGTAGATCGGTAAATGTTTCTCGGTTTATTACTTCCCAGGGCTGTAGCAACCGGGGGGAGGGGGCAGCCCTCAATACATCTTTAAAATACTGACAATTGATTAATTTTAAGCGGCTATACATTAGCCATGACAAACCGCAAAGAATCATATTACCCATATACGCCTTCGCCCATTTAGTTCTTCTATAAATTGTAAGCAAATTAATTGTAAATTTCGACGTGCTAAAACTCTGTTTTCTGACCATCAGAATTCTGTCAAAACTTCCCCCAAAGTCCACGAAATGGCATTTCAGAGACTCTAAATTTAAAAATTTCCCCAGAGAACTTCCTACAGAACTGCACGCTTCTGTAATATGTCTGTGCGTAAAATATGAGTATTTTTGTTTGTAAATTGCGTTTTCATTTTCCGGATAGCAAACACCTTCGTATTATTCGGAAATTTCTTTCGTCATTCGGAAATTTTTGGCCTACACCCCCCCCCCCAACTATGCATGCTTAGCTACGGCCCTGGTAATATTCGCACAGATATAGTCGAATAAAAGTCGTTAGTATTAAAGCCAGCCGGACCACATTTGTAACAACCGGATGTTAGGGTTTGTAATCCAAGTGAGAATATATACATTTTAAGACGTATTCAACCAGAAGCACAAGGTCCTGTGGTAGGAATTGAACCTATGGCCCTGCGATTCCGGTGCAGCGCTCTAACCAACTGAGCTACAAAGGTCAGCTGTTGAGCTGTAACCGTAAGTTCATGTATATATAGGTAATCGGGTGTGCGGGTTGTGATAAGGTGGACTTGAATGACTTAGATTCTTGCACTTCACTTGGTGGAATTAATATTAGGATGTTAGGGTTTGTAATCCAAGTGAGAATATATACATTTTAAGACCTAACCAGGAACGACTGCGAAAAATGCAGCACGAGGTCCTCTGGTAGGAATTGAACCTCTTTTAAGCCTATACAGACAAGCGGACCAACCCATCTCCCTCCAGTTCCAATGTTTGCAACTTCAGTGAAGGTCTCTTCTGTCTAAAATACACACCAAAATAGAAGGATAACTTAGTTAAGAAGAGTGTTTCAGTATTCGTTTCACCAAAGCTTTGTCTAGTGGATGAAATGCATAAAAAATTATGTCTAAAAATTCCGATCATCAAGACCCAGACTCTCAAAAATGTTTTGGGGTGGCACTCAGACCCCCCTACAAGATCTTACTTTTCCAGTTCACCAACCACCTCCTAGTTAAGTCCTTTTGTTTGTGAAAATTTCGGCATTGGTTTGGAGAGAAAGTGACAATGAAATTATAGCTTCTCGGCAACGCCGGAAAAATTAGCCGTTTCAACTGAAACTATATTGGGAGTTATTGCACGATACTATACATGGCAAAGAAGTTATGTAGCTTACGGAACTTCAGTGGCGAAAAGTCTACTATGCGTACACATGCAATACGTATGAGGAGTGGATCGATGAGTTGAGACAAAAGATTTTTCTCCTAACCACTGATCTATATATAGTCAGTCACTAACTATCAACAGCATAAAAAACATTGTGAAACATTTTAAGAAAGAATATTCGAATTTTGGGATTTCTAGGATGTGTTAATCTCATAATTCGCCTATATACCATGGTTCTCAGAACTGATCAAATTTGTTGCAATGCCTGAATAATGTTCATGTGAAACGAAACTATTATTGTGAAATTATTAATTAAGGAATATTATTTTTCATGGTTACTTATTCCTGCCTATATTATAGAAATATATGATTTTAAATTTGAATCGAATTTGCAAACTCGTAATGCTGGCACATCGCTCCCTACGACTGGATCGTGGCTGGATATTGCCTTTAATATTTATTTATTTATTTATTTATGTATTTATTAACTTTACAAAGGAATAAGATTGAAAGTATAGTCAACAGGACAAGAACCCATGAATGATTACACCATGTGACACTGCATGTGTTCATTATTTCAGTCTATTTCACCATAGTTAATAGAATAGATGGTTTGGAAACTCATTAGAATAAAAACTTAACTCATTATCTATGTTAGTCAACGTTTATTCATAAACATGGTCGTTCACCGTCACCGGTGTGTATTGCGTTCTTGCCAAATCCACCAATAGCAATTTTCAATTTACCCTATTGTTCGAGTCACGGATAGGTAACTTTCCTAAGACATTGCTATGGTTAGTTGGGCAAAAATACAATAGGCACGTGACCGTGAACGACCAGATTTATGAATAAACGTTGACTAACATAGATAATAGATAGCTTAAGATCTATGACGTCGACGTCAGTTAGGACGTCAGGGTTAAGCAGAGGACTGGGACTAGCACATTCTTTTTTTTCAAAAGGTGCAGAAAATACTTTTACTGTCGTTCCAATTGAAGTGTTCCTCAAATGTTGATTCAATACATTACCTCGGGCTGACCAATTCATTTGATCAAGTTCCTCAAAATATTCATACACTTCCTAGTATAATTGTAAACTTCCTGTTGAATAGTTTGAATGCACCAATCACCTTTGTTGTTTGTGCAACTAACCAATCATAAATAGAAAGGAAGTGACCAGAAATGATCAAATACTTGGAATTGACTCTTTCACAGGAAGTGTATGAATATTTCGAGGAACTTGACGAAATGAATTGGTCAGCCTGAGGTAATGTATTGAATCAATATTTGAGGAACACTTCAATTGGAACGACAGTAACTCTAAATATTTACATCCTTTTGAAAATGAATTTAAAAGAGACGTGTGAATTCATTACCGTTTGTTATGCTCTTGTATCCACGACGGGAAAACTCTTGTTGTGAGGTTGTCGACGTTTGGTGGACGACGAGCAAATTGAGAGACACATGCACACTTCAAAAACTATTACCAATTTACTTCCGCTTGCCGCCCTAAATATTTGACGTCGTAGATACTTGAGCTATCAGGGACCTTAAGCATGTACGACGGCAACGCGAGGACGACAGCCAAAACAAATAAATTATTGCGAAGGTGTTGTGCATTATCCGCAACATCTACAGTATTGTCAGTATATATGAATTGAGTTCAGTTTGAAGAGATTAAAACAAAGGTTTTATGGTTAAAAACGCTTCTGCTGAGCAAATTTGTAGTTTCACTTGTCGCGTCTTGAAATGTTTGCGTTGTACACGAGACGTGAAAATCTCTGGTTTGCCGTTGTAAAAAGCCCTAAAAAACGTCTCTAACTCCCGTGGGGCTTTTAATTATTCACTTCTTTTGTACTAGATCAGGAATATCATTGTGTGAATAACCGTCGTCGTCGCGTTGCCGTCCTGTTTGCTTAAGGTCCCTATCGACTTATTTAGGACGACGTCCTAGTCCCAGTCCTCTCCTTAGCCCTGACGTCCTAGCTGACGTCGACGTCGTAGATCTTAAGCTATCTAATATAAATTGAGTTATTTTGTTATTCTAATGAGTTTCCAAACCTTCTATAATTCTATTAACTATGATTTCACTGCATAAAATTTGAAGCCGGATACAGCAAGTATTATCTAGGATTGTCGCGTTGAATTTTTTACAATATTCAGGTTTTACTATTTCCGTCTAATGTCAAGTAATGAGCAAATGTTCTTTGCCATATATGCATGAAATATTCTAGGGGTATATATGCAGTATTTATCATGATATAAATTACACATTGGCGTTCTACTAAACCAAGGTGCAGTAAAACACAGTTATTTCAGCTGAAGTTTCGAAAATAGATTACTCAGAAAAGCTTGTCTTGTGACTGCCTTGTGACGCGCCAATACCAGACACAAACAAGATTCACCAATCAGAAAGCTGTATTATTGCGTCACCGCGGATATATGGTACATCTGATGTAACATCTCCGGGAATTCCCTTGGGGAATTCCCTTGAAGGGAGTATAACAATATATGTACACGTATCACCAACATTTTAAGTGAATTCAAAACAAACCAGACTTACCAGAGTACGAACGATACCGAAAGAAACAGTATGAATTCTCATGGGAACGAAAACGGTGTTATTACACTGATCGAACGGTATGATAAACCAGAAACAGTAGAGCTAGCAAGTTTTGATGGTGAGCGAAATCTTTCGATCAACTGTGCTGAACTTCGTTACTTGAGAAGATATTTGATCTTGGTTGGACAATGGTATCCTCAGGAATGGAATTTAACGAAGAGAGCTTTTTATCATATCTGGCAGGTAGAAAACACTAATTTGCATGAACATATACTTAAATGTCTTAAATTAGGGGAACTGTTCATATATATTATATAAGATCCATAGTTTTTTGATAATGCATGCTAGATTGGTGTTAAAGTTGGTTTCATTATTATTGATTATAAATTTATTATTGGTAAGTCAGCAGTGCAGTGCTCGTATACTAGAAAGTAATGCTGTTAGGGATATATGCATGAGGACGGTTTTAAATTAAACATCGCAAATTGTGTCGGGGCTATTGACATGGACTAGGCAGGCCTCGAAATAAGTGCTGGCTTTTGACCGATAAATATTTCAGTTTGACCATAGTTATTAGTTTATAGACTATAGATGGTTTGGAAACTAATTAGTTGACCTGCACCGAAGGACTTAGCATAGCTTATATTCAGTTATGCAGATTATTTACGTAAAAGTCCAAGTTGTGATTGGTTGAACCAGTGAATATATGCGGCTGACAACGACTTAAAGCAACTTAAAATGACTCAAAGCAACCTAAGTGAAACTTAAAATAATATAGGCCGTGGGCAGTTGTGCGAAAAAGTGCTTAGAAAAACAATTTCGTGGAAACCCCCCGGGGAATAGATTTTCTGTGGTTCAATGATAGTACCATAGATGCTCAATTACCACAAAAAGTTCCCAAGCAAAAAACTTGCGAAACACCAAGAAAATGGGTGATCAGTGAATCGTGATTATCTTCTTAAGCCTGGCGCACACGATGCGATTTTAGTCGGCCGATAAAAATCGTTTGACTAAAACTAACAAAATCGTGTGTGCGGTGTCATTTTTAACCGATTTTTGTTGCTCGATTTTAATCGGACAACATCAAAACGTTTTGATATTATACGATTTTTAAGTATAACCAATCAGATTTCATGCTGTGATCACGTGCTTGTATTTATTTGGCAACATGGCAATCACCCAGAGCAATGCCTATGCGCGGGCTAGGATGGCATTGGCTCTGGGGAAATTGATAACCGGAACCCCTAAATTTAGGGGTTCTGGTTCTTTGTCGGCATGCACGATTGATAAACGTTAAACCAGTCACAGCACAGGAAAAATTCAATTTCCCCAGAGCCAATGCCATCCTAGCCCGCGCACAGACATTGCTCTGGGTACGAGATTGGCAACATGGCGGCTACAGTTCAGGGAGCGTATTTTTTTCGTAATCGTGTGCGGAGTATAGCGATGTATATCGGTATGTCAAACGATTTTTATCGGCCGACTAAAATCGCATCGTGTGCGCCAGGCTTAAGACTCTATTAAATTGTATTACAGCAAGAAAATGTTAAATGTTGTATTCAATTACAGCAAAAATGACTTGCATAATCAGAAAGCTTACAAAAATATACATATAAGACATTTAAACAGTTTTTTTATATCTCAAATTGATTTCGAGTTATACACTGTCAAAATCGCGTTTTTGACCTAGTACCCAGTTTTTATTGCGACATTTTGGGCCAATTTTCATATTTAGAACAGCACTAATAACTCAAAGACTATTTGAACGATCAAAAAACTGTTTAAAAGTCTTATATGCAGTTTTGTGTAAGCTTTCTGATGATGCAAGTCATTTTTGTTGTAATTGAATACAAAATTTCATATTTTCTTGCCGTAATACAATTTAATAGAGAATAATCACTGATCACCTATTTTCTTGGTGTTTGGCAAGTTATTTGCTTGGGAACTTTTTGTCGGAATCGAGCATCTATGGTACTATACACTGAACCACAGAAAATCCATTCCCCAGGGGGTTGCCACGAAGCGAAATAATTTTGGTCAACGGCCCACGGCCTAACAGGCAGACTCTTTGCACACACTTAGTATAGAGCAGATCTCTTTCTTTATGATCATACGATAACAGGTTGTTGGTTACTCCTGCCCCGAGGTTTGTAAATTGACACTCGATAAGGATTTGACCGGCAACCAATGAGTTATTTTGATCGATCGATTTTGTCGACCATGCGGCCATATCGACCATGCACGCATGCAGTTCCCTTGGTAAAGAGTAAACTGCCTTGTGGCAACAGTGCGTACTGGATCTGCAAAACAGCTTGTTATGATCAACTGGAATAATATAACTAACTCCCTTGTGTGCCATGGTTTAGTTGTTCGGTTAGGTTGTTGGGAAACCGTTACAGTCTAGTCTAGAACTCCTCGAATGTTCACGTCAAACGGCATGAAACTTGGTTTATTGAGGTTGTAATAATTCATGTTTCGCTCGTTACTCCGGTTTAATAAATGATTACAAAGCCCAGTCGAATTGTAATCAAGACCCAACGTTTCGACACTCCAGTCTAGTGTCTTCATCAGGGGTGATCTAAAGATACAATCGTGCATGGCTTCTTAAATACCCAAGGGATGACGTCACCTGCCAATGAGATGCATGTATTCCACTGGCAAATAGGCACCGTCATCCCTATTCAAAGCATAATTACTCATATTTATATGCCACGCTTCTAGGCAAAGTCTTTGACCATAGCGATTGTTTGTGGTAATTATAGAGTTTTCCCACGCAATCTTGTGTTTGGTGTAACATACATGTTCTGCTAAAGTGCCCACCTCATAGAAATAATAGATATAGAAATATAGAATGCGTACTCATATCTTTCAGTCAGTAAAAAATTTGTCTCCACAAAATGGCGGATTTATAAGGGCATTTTGGTTGGTCCCAGACTCCTGAGGCAAGGAATTTCGCGCGGTTGCAGGGAGTGCGAATTGTTTTTTTTTCAACTGTAAACTTTGCAAAACATTTTATATCGATACTTAAAATGGAAAAAACGTTTTGTAAAGGAGAAAAACCCTTTTGAGTGAGCTTTTTTACGAAAAGCAATTGTGCAAGCCAAAACAAAACACGAAAGATCAAGACAAATTCAAACTCACGTGTTCTAAAAATATTTCAACACTTTTATAATATAAATGGAGTTCAGTAATGTTTTTAAACTTACACAATTACTTTTCGTATTTTTCTACGTTGCTTGAGCTTGAGGCAACGCTTTTGAAACCATAGCTAAAAAAACTAATGACATGTGGATCACTTTCACAGACGCTATACCTGAACCACCACGTCTTCGTATTGGAAATGAGTTTATACTATAGAACAAGTCAATGTTTTTAAATTATTTGGCGTGTCGTTCCAAAAGAACCTAAAATGGAATGCACATGTTGAAGATATTACACGAAAAGCAAATAAACGCCTCTACCATCTTCAAGAATGCAGGAAACCGCGGTTACCAGTCGAAGTCGATATTATTACCTAACAATCCAAAATAAGACCAATTTTCGAGTATGCATCACCTAACTGGGCGGGACTCCCTAATTACCTGCGAGTCGGGTTCAATCCAGGAGCTTACGAATCCTTGGTCTGGAAAACGATTACCTGCCACAGTGCCTTTTTTAACTATATATCTGGGGGGCAATTGCCCCCCAGGGAAAGAATTTGCACCCCAGTAAAGCCATTTCTGCCCCCGAAGTGCGAAGCAGAATTGCTCATGATTGCTGTCAGAATTGCAGTTGATTTACTTGATAATGAGATTATGCCCTTCCATAGCCTCCTCCACAGCCATCTTGTGCGTAATTCATATTGTTCTTCACCGAGTATTTCATAATAGCGATAGATTTCATGCAAACAATCCGATAAAATGCTAGCCTTTCCAAGCCTTGCGTTTATTTCCAAGCACTCTCCTCCGCAGAGGCGTTGTGTTTTGTTTTGGGAGGTTTTATTGCAAAATGTTTTTCTTAAAAATATCAAGTTATATTAAGAACCCCCCCCCCCTCCCCAATCGCCACAAAAACCATTCTCTCAGAAAGTACACGTTACATGCTCGAAGCTGAAACTGATTAAGTTTGTCTCGACTGAGGAAAAAGACGATATACTGGAGGAACTTGATTTGTGAAATATCGTTAAAGCAGTTGTAGATATGGTTCCAAGAAGAATAGATTTAGTTTAGATTTTCAACTGTTAAATACATGTATGCATCATCATAGCATGAATATTTCTTCTCAGACTTATTCTGTATCGTATGAAAAAGCAACGCAATTTTGAGAATGCGGAAATGGTGTCTCATAGAACCTAAAATGATTTAAATGCAACATTTCTGATCAAAAGCACATTGGGATTCCCCCCCCCCCCAGCATCACAGAGAGGAAATAAGGTGACACTGACCCCTCCTCCTATTTTTCAAGGTGACTTTTCCAATTTATTTAATTTCGAGTAGAAATGTCTGGAAAAATTCATGTCTTCGATGTACTTTATAATCTTAGGAATTCTGCTAGATTTAACCCCCAAAATGCATGAAATCGCAATTCAGGGATCCGGGATTTCAAAATTTTCCGGACCCCGGACACTCCTATACGGTCTCACGCCGTCGGCGTGAGGTTCGCCCCCCCCCCGCCAATTTAAGGTTTGGCTGACCACTGGTTATAGCTGTACGATTATAGCTACAAAGAGTTGAAGTTGTTGTTTAAAGCTAGTAAAATATAGCTCAAGTTAATAAATTAAAGTTTTACAAAATCTCTCTTCAGACTCGCACGTTCGCCAAACCTCGACGGCTCATATTTTTCGTTCTGCCTTTTTTCCTGTTTTGCCCCTCTCCCCCCCCAGTAAAAATTCCTTAAAAAAGAAACTGATTGACCTTCATTGACTTCCTGTACGGTATCGGGTGATTTTCAAGATTTTGTTGCTGGTGTACAAGGCTCTTCATGCTAATGGACCGCCTTATATCTCAGACCTTCTGACACCTAAGCATATTGGTTGCTACAGCCTGCGCTCGAATGAGCAAAATTTGCTAATAGTTTCACAAGACAATGAGGAAAACTTTTGGCGACAGAGCTTTTGCCAAGGCTGGTCCATTTTTGTGGAATGAACTTCCCGCTGACATTCGTGAAGCGTCAACAGTGGAAACTTTTAAAAGCAAACTAAAGAGGCAGTCTCTGTAAGAACCTCATGACCTCTTTGGATCAAGAAATAGATTTCTCTCAAACTTTGTACTTGAGATTGCCTTTACAAGGTTTGTTTCAAAATGCATTTTGTTTTCAGTCTAATTGCATTTTGGCAAAGTTCCAGGGGGGTCAAGTTGAGGGCTAAAATTATGATTTTTGCTGTTTCTCAACAGTGGATTTTTACTGCTTTTTAAACCTCTCTACATCAAACAAAAATAAAGATAAAACTAAATCCTTCCACACAATAGTAGCCTTATATGTCTTAAGTAAAAAGGTATCTACACATTTTTCAAATATGTTTTCTAAATATAGAAATGACGCCATTCATGACAGACTAAAATAGAGATTTCCAAGTTCCTTAAAAAATGTTGAAATAAAAATCCTAAAATTCAAAAGTTAGACTTGCCATGAATGTAATATTATTTGTATGGTGAGATTAAAGGTTGGTCTTACATAATGTAAAATTAAATATTGCGGCCTGTAATTTTTGGGGGTACTACAGGCCAACAAATAATCAACATTTTCGACTTTCGGTAGTTTAGATCAAATAAGAACGTTCACCGTTTACTGCAAACTCTGCTTTCAAAACCGAAATTTTACTTATTATTTTGACCTAGAACAGTGATAACATTAGTTTGACCTTCGTTGTTGTCTAAAGTCTTTTTAGGGAAATGCACTGACACAGGCATTTCCGTTAAGTATGGGCCGTATTGTATAAATAATAAAAATTCTCTAGCTGAATATAAACAAAGACAAATTATAAATTTGCAACAGGTAAAGATGTCCGTTAGTCAACAAATTATCGAACATCGATTTACTTTGAAGATTATTTAAAAAGTCAAGAGAAAACCTACCCCAATATAATTTATACAAAGATAATATATGCCTCGATTAACGAATCGATTGTCAGTTGACATATTATTTGACATTCGTCAGCTGCCATTATTCTTTAGGGTTTTAAATTGATCACTTTCGACATCTTATGATTATTTTAGACACAGTCTCATATGTATAAAATCTTGCTTCTTTTGTCAACAAGCAATGCTAGTCATTCCTCCATTGTTATAACTCAATTTTGTTATTGTTATATTGCGGAAGCCGCTGACCAGCCAAATAATTCGGCTGTCAAAAACACGTGCAACATGTCGCGAATTGTTTGCTTTCGAAACTGCAGGTCAAACTTGGCAAAAGTTTGTCAATGTTTGGTAAAAGTTATGAAATTGTACCCAATTCTAAAAATTTCTAATATTTGGTTATATTAATTTGTCCGGTTATATTTTAAATTGACATAATATATTTACGGCCTACTTGCAACCTAATTCCTGTAAATAGAACAAGAGCCCCTTGATGAGCTAAAAGCTCTTGGGCAATTGTTATATCTTTAATATTAAAATGTGTTTATTTAAAATATTTGTCCGGAAATAATGTTAAGCTTTGCTCCGTCAAGAATGAAACAGACTAAATCTAATTTTTCTAAATACATAAACATTTCTATATTTGGAAAATATATCAGAGAAATTTATAGATACTTTGTCAGTTAAGGCATATAAAGCTACTATTTTTCGGAAGGATGTAGGTTTATCATGATCTTTGTTTGATGGAGGCAAAATCTTCCAAGGCTACAACGGCTGATCGCATTATTAATCAACCCCCCCCCCCCCTTTGAGGACATGTGGAATTTCCAATGGCCCCCTCCAAAAGTGAACCAAAAATGAAGGAATTTCCATGGGAGAGTCCAAATTTTAAAGCAAATCTGCGGAAATTCCAAAGGGTAGGTAAGAAAAATGAGTAAAACGTATGGAATTTCCATGGGAGGTCAAGAATGGAAAAGAAATTCCAAAGGATAGGATAAAAATCAGCAAGGAATTTTCCAAGGGATAGCTACTAATCAAAGAATCAGTACGGAATTTCCACTGGCTAGATCAAAAACTGTCAAGGAATTTCGAAATTCTAGGGGAGGGGGGGACCAAAAATGGTTGTCCTCAATAGAGGGGGGGTGCGAATTAATAATGCGACGAGCCAACGTTTGACAGCCAAATTATTTGGCTGGTCAGCAGCTTCCGCCATAACAATAACAAAATGGAGTAAAAACAACAGAGAAATTGACTAGCATAGGCTGCTGATGAAGACTAATCAAGATTTATTTACAAGACTGTGTCTACAATAATCATTAAGATATCGAAAGGGATTAACACTAAAGAATAATGACAGCTGACGAAAGTCAAATAGTAAGTCTACTGACAATCGGGGTCATTCAATGACAAGGCTGTCGTTCGAGGCATATCCTTGTATTAGTTAATTTAATATTGGAGTACTTTTCTCTTGACTTTTAAAACATAAAACTAATAAATCTTCAAAGTAAATCGATGTTCGATAATTTGTTGACTAACGGACATCTTTACCTGTTGCAAATTTATAACTTGTTTTGTTTATATTCAGCTAGAAAATTTTTATTATTTATACAATACGGTCCATACATAACGGGAAATGCCTGTGTTAGTGCATTTCCCTAAAAGACTTTAGACAACAGCAAAGGTCAAACGAATGTTTATCACTGTTTTAGGTCAAAATAATAAGTAAAATCTCGGTCTTTGAAAGCAGAGTTTACAGTAAACGGTGAACATTCTTATTTGATCTAAACTACCGAAAGTCGAAAATGTTGATTATTTGTTGGCCTGTAGTACCCCCAGAATTTACAGGCCGCAATATTTAATTTTACATTATGTAAGACCAACCTTTAATCTCACCATACAAATAATATTACATTCATGGCAAGTCTAACTTTTGAATTTTTGGGGTTTTATTTCAACAATTTTTAAGGAACTTGGAAACCTCTATTTTAGTCTGTCATAAATGATGTCATTTCTATATTTAGAAAACATATTTGAAAAATTTGTAGATATATTTTTACTTAAGACATATAAAGCTACTATTGTGTGGAAGGATTTAGTTTTATCATTCTTTTTGTTTGATGTAGAGAGCTTTAAAAATCAGTAAAAATCCACTGTTGAGAAACAGCAAAAATCATAATTATGGCCCTCAACTTGACCCTCCTGGAACTTTGCCAAAATGCAGTTAGAGTGAAAACAAGATGCATTTTGAAGCAACCCTTATAAAGGCAATCTCAAGTACCAAGTTTGAGAGAAATCTATTTCTTGATCCAAAGAGGTCATGAGGTTCTTACAGAGACTGCCTCTTAATAAGGCTTGAGTGACAGTCATAGAACTTTTACCTCCGTCCCAGCACCTCCACTCACTTGAAATTATGAAAACAACAAAGACCTCAGACAAACTACAATTATAATGAAAATTGCTGCCTGCAATGCTCTCTGACAATTGCAGAATAGAAATTGGCAACTGTCACCGACTGTTATATACCAAGCAATGAAAAGCAGCCTTTTAATGATTATACCTTGAATATTCCTGCTTGTATTTGTCATTCTTCTTATGCCTTGGTGTGCATCATTCATCTCTCTCTGAATGTCTAACACTTCTTCGCTAACAAATCTATTCATGCGATGTTTGGGAGGACGGCGATGACCTCGTCTCTCCATGCTGTGTTCACCATCTTCATTTTCTGAAAAATAGCTTAACCCATTAAGTTTCATACTGCCCTGATGCACCCTAATTTACATTCTATGATTCTGTCTAACGCTACACAATACACACTGATGTGCCTACCATATTATAATTTTTTTGCCAGATGATTTTACTCATCAAGGGGAAAATGCTACCACTCATTAAGTTAATTACATGGTAACTTTTTCATCCTAGCCAATAATGCTATGCAAACTCCTGTTTTTCAATATTGGAGTGCTAATTAATGGCCATTAATGGAGTGAGTGCATGCCTGTCTTTTTTAACACAATTTGGTGTCATTGGTGTATCCCTGCTTGGACTTGTTTTTCCTGTCCGAGGGTGGGGAATTTGACACAAAAAAATTGCAAATGTCAAATGCCAGGGAGTTTGCCTGGCCCTCAGGGTGGTGGAAACAAATGATAGGTGTATAATTAAGCTGCAATGTGCCAAAATGACCAACCATAATTTTACTCTGTCTAAACACCTGACAATTTCACTCACAACGGGGATAGTCTTGCCCATTAATGGGTTAACCAATCTACTTGCCAATGTGTCTTGTTAACCCAATAACCCTTTAAGTGGCAATGTGCCATGATGCACCCTATTTAACAATTATTCGCTGAAGGCAAAGTGATTACCGGCGAATATTCACCGAGACGAAGTCGAGGTGAATATTCACCATAATCACTGAGCCTGAGGCGAATAATTGTTTTAGTATAAAATTAAATTTTTAATGAATAAAACAAAATATCCAAATATCAGTTTAATTAAAATTGAGAAATAAAACTGTTTTCGGCCGGTTTTACGGTTACTGTTTTAGTGTTGCAGTGAGTAGTATAGTAGGTGGTTTTCGGGCCGGATTTTTGAGGAGGAGTGAGGAGGAATGAGGAGGAGCGAGGAAGGGTGAGGAGGAGCGAGGAGGAGTAATGACGTGAGGAGGAGTGAGGAGGAGGAGTGAGGAGGAGTGAGGAGGAGTGAGGAGGAGTGAGGGTGCGTAATGACGTCACTCATTAACATACGTCATAATTATATGCAATGACGTCACGCGGGCAGGATCAGGTAAGTAATGACGTCACGCGGGCCTGTTCGGGCGAAATTGAACAAAACTTGCTGACCACGCGTTTTTTTAGCGTCACTCCTCGTGTATGATACAATGGAAGGATTAATGTTGACTTACTATGAATGGTTGTTTGATTTAACGAGCGTCTGTATAAAATCGACAAGCGTCTTGTAACAAGCATAGTTCTACATTTGACAACGCTCTTACTGGAGCGAGGAGGAGTAATGACGTGAGGAGGAGTGAGGAGGAGGAGTGAGGAGGAGTGAGGAGGAGTGAGGAGGAGTGTGGTGGAGTGAGGGTGCGTAATG